GCTTTGTAAAAACAAAAAAGGCACTGTTATTTCCTTCACAGATTCTATAGACAACATTGGTCTACAGAATGTCGGTCTGAAAGACATTTAAAGCTCAGACCACAAACACACTGACAGCACCTTAAGCTCTCTAATGGTGGTACCTGTCCACAATCCAGAAACAGACTTGATTTAGAAATAATATTGTTGATTTCAACATTGTATTGTTTCATAGCAACAGAACCGTTTCTCCGTATGATTAGGGTCTGGGGTCAGGATGATGGTCATGGCAAAAGGCTCTACAGCGCCACCTAGAACACAGTCCCTGCTGTGCGTTTGTCCTAGATGTATATAATATGGTAGGTATATGTAACATGTAGACTACCAAGAAAATCTATTGGAAGTAAACCGTATCAAATGTCAAATGTGTTGATGTAGTGGATCAAATGTCTTGATGTAGTGGATCAATCAAATGCTGGGTTTCAAATGGCCATCAGATGGCTCGTTTCAATAGACCAATCAAATGTCTTGATGTAGTGGATCATAAAATTGCCATGTTTCAATTGGCCATCAGATGGCTTGTTTCAATTAATCAATCAAATATCTTGTTTTAATTGGCGAATCAGGTTACTTGTTTCAATGGGCCAATCAGAGGGCTTGAAGCAATTTTCTCAAAACAACCACAGCAACATCAAACTTTACTTGATAAATAATAGATAAATTAACACTAAATGTAAATATTGATAAACGGTCGATTACTGGTAATCTATCAAGTTAAATAGTTAGCTTGCTTTTCTGCACCAGTTAAAAATATCAGCGCTGGTTACTGATAGTAACTGGCAAATGAAATGTTTAATATTTCATTCTTTATAAATGATTTTAAAAATATGGATAATCAATTGGGCAAAGCCTGTGAGCTAGTTCAGGTAGTCAACTCGAGCACCAATGATACATTTACACGTGATGCGCCTCGTCCCTCTTACAACCAACTACGGTGTGTGATTTCAGCTGAAATTGACCTATTAAAATAGAAAACCTGCCTGGTGCACCTTTATTTGCAATTTGAAACTTGTTTGAACATTCTGCTAAAGCAACAACACACATTTTGTTTTATCCAAGATATCACCACCATTCGTATTTATTTACCTTTCCAATCAGACTGAAGACAACCAGGGATACTGTTTACAGAGCATCTGATAAATCAGTAACCACTGTCTACAGTTTATTTACTCACCTTCTATGGCCTATATTCTCTGCCTGTCGGATTTTAAGCTGCCTTGTGCTTTCCACGCCCAGGGCATTTCTCACTTTAGAATGTTAAGTCCAACATAGAACTGAGTTAACCAGTAGTGTTTATTTGAACTCAGCACTAATGGATTTGTGTTTAATATTAGAATTAGGTTATTTAGCAGATGCATTTGGATGAGCCAGTGTCGACTTTTTTCCCAGGTTTCCATGCAACAAATTTGGCCCAGGTGGCTTGATTTTGCAAACTTCAGCAACTACAAGATACAGTGGCCACCAGCTGGCACATGAAAGAGCATATCAGCATTTTTTTCTGCACATTATTCAATTTAGAAAGATAACTTTTACATCCACCAGCTGCCATACATGCTGATGTTCTGTTACTATGTATATCACAGCAAAGCTTTAAAAAGATGGATGATATCTTACAAGAATATGATACTAATACAATAGGGGATGACATCTACTCAATAGTTTATTTAGTCACCTTCGCACAGCTTTTGGATTGGCTTTCTTCACTGAACTAGCTCTAATAAATTGCTTTTCTTTTTGCTAAATTACAAAAAAACTAAACCCAAAATATAGAAATTAAGGACACAATTAAAAACAGTATATGGCAAGTTTAGTAGGTTACCTGTTACAGCAAATCAGCTGGGTTTTACTTGTGGTTATCTTGATAAATAAACACAGTGAATATAAATAAACACGAAGAGTACTATCAACCATATATCTGCAGCCTTTACCACTGACCTCGAATCAGATGCTGTCTCTTTCTGAAGTACGTGATCTTGGAGGTGTAGTCATTATAGACTGAGTTCATGCCACGGTTCTCCAGCCAGTGTGCCATGGCCACCCCTCGACCCTGCACCTTCATGGAGTGCACCCTGGTGTCCCTGCGGAGCTCTAGGACCACCTGGCCGGACACCAGCTCCCCTCCGGTGAACGCTGCATCAGCTGGACCATCCAGCTCCAGCTTGAAAGACTTTATGTTGTTCAACGTCATTCCTGGAGTGGAGACAATAAAGAGTTTGGTAAGGTTGGGAGCTGTAAGAAATACCCATTGTGTATAGTAGAGATGTGTGTATTGGGAATTGGTTTCCATTGCTGTTAAAAACACACTGCAAATAGTCAGAGGGGGACCAAGGGCAAGCAAATAATAGGCCTATATATGAAATCCTTTATTAACTTTTTACAAATAATTGGGAAAGTAACAGAACATATTTTAAATTTTTTTGTTATTTATCAGAGGGATCTTATTTTTAGGATGGGGTTGGGTGGTTCTGTTAAGGGTCGCAGACATGCCAGGGTCAGCCCAAGAGTAGCTAATGCTGGGTAATCTGTTTGTTGTTTTTACAAAATGTTTATTGTTCTGTGGTTAAAAGAAATACTGCAGAAAGAGATTACTTAATAATGACAGTATACTAGCCTCTTTAAATGAAAATTATCTTTTACATTGAACTAATAAACAAATAAAACCATTATGAGTCACGACTCACGACTCGTAATCAAATAAGTAGCATGCCATTTTTTTATGACATTTAAAAAAACATTAATATAATATTCTAAGTTATATCAATATGATTCTGTGAGTCTAATTACATTTATATTTTCGGCGGTGCTTGTTTAAGTGTATTTTATAAACGGCTGAGGACTAGTTTCAGCCAATCAAGATTCAGATCCGGGACTACGTTTTATAGATAGAGTGCTGCCCATGAGTGGTGCACGTTGAGTTGACGTCTATATTATTTTTAAAAACTCACCGACAGGTCTGGAGCAACGTAGAGGTCCTCTTTAAGCCGAGGTTTACGGTAGAAAAAACAAAACGTGTGCTCACTCCGACTGGGTGTTCAACTTCAGAGGAAGCCCAGCCTTTATAAGGACAGCAGGAGGAGGAGGAGAGCAGCGTGGACTGACTGCACGTCAGCTAACTCAGCCTCACAAGGTGAGGTTCCGGTTAGACCCTTCAAATTAAAAGCATGTCTTAATTCACCAGATTTCACCCTTTGTCCTTTTGGGTTTATGCGTAGATTCGTATATGGGCAGAATATTGAATGAATGTGGCATATAGGAAACATGTCATAGAAAGTAGTGATATAAATACGCAAAAGATTGACTCCATCTGTTTTTGACGTATACTTTTATTTTGAAGGCAGCTTGTTTTTTAGAGTTTAAAACGTTTTAATCACTGGTCATTTACTATAATTAATTTGTCATTATTTATATGGTCAACCCTATGGTCAATATGCAAACTGTTGATAAAGTACAGATCGTACACGTCTGTGATGAAATAAATAACTATCATAAATACAATTTATAAAAACTTGAATTTTTCAAAAACAGTAGTAGGACTAACAAAAAGCTTACACATCTGAGAACAAGTCTGAATCACCTCAGTTTTGTTTTTGTTTTATTTAAACCACGTGCCTTAGTACTCGAAAGCAACAATTAGCTTAATAATAAAACTCCTATGGTGAATAAATCAAATCACTGGTAATGCAGTAAGACATATACTTTGTGACGTTAACTTATGATATTGTATCAAAATAACATTATACTGTAATCATATTGTTAAGATTTCTGTTGAGACCTTTGCATGTATCTTGGTCAAACGTTTATAGCAGTATCGTTCAAACCAGCAAGGCCATAGGTATGATCCAGAAGTATGTCCTTTTTCCTAATTTTCATACTTACACATTGAAAAATATTTGATTTCAATTGACCAGGTGCACAAGTAAACTACATTAATTCAGTTAATTAATATGAAAGTGTCATAAACTTGGTCTTAAATTAACATATCTGGCTGAAAATCTATCTTAATTTGGCATGGCTCTTGGCACAACTGAGAGGCAAATCAAACAAGACGTATCTGGTCGATTCTGGATACTTAACTTAACCATGTTGTTGAAGCTGTACCTCTTGGACCTAAGCTTTTTGCCAGCTCATATTTAAGCTCCTAACTGAGAATGCTGCCTTTTCACCTGGTTGATGAACTCCAGATTCAGTTTATTTAGACCTGCTTGCCTGCCAACTTTTTTTATCAGCAGGGCCTGCATCTTTGGGTCAAGGCTGTGTTATTGCTACAACACAGATTGTTTTCAGAAAGTTGTGTGGTCAATCATCCTTTAAGGAGGGGATACAAATCTTTCTACGACACAGAAGCTAACCTTCTTTTTAGAAGTTATTGTTGACAGTGTAAACAGAGTAGAAGTAGGACAGTCACCTCTCCATGGCCTAAATATGACAGGCAAGGCTTTGGTTAATGTTTTAGCCACCTAACTTGCTAAAGCTGCTCTTGCACAGTGCTTCAACATTTCACACTCTGATGCAACCTGTACTGTTCTGGGTGAAGAGTTATCTTTTTAGCTCAAACATTGAAAAAACACATAACACTTATATTAGGGATAATGACAGAGTGGAGGGGGTTTCACGTTCTGATGAGCTGTGATTCACAGGATCAGTGTTTAAGTTCTACACACAAATGTAATATCACACCTCTTTTTAAGGTTGTTTCAAATATATCTTGGAAATATAAGAAACATGACAGTAGCTTATTTACATATCCCTATCCTTTTTCCCCAATAGAATATTTAGTTGACTTTGGATGTCTGGAGGCACTTCAATTAGTCAAACAAAGAAGCTAAATGTAATTACTTCTTTGCTCAGGTTGATGATAAGAGAAAAATATATTTGTGTTACAATTTACAGCTTTCATCAAGCTCAATCTGGTCTTTTTAGTATTACATTATGCCTGACCTTCAGTGTAGTATTTGTTAATGTTTTATTGTGTACATGCCCATTTGAACAGTGTGATTTTGAGTTAAAACTATGATTATTAATCGACAAAAAAGTACAGAAGAGCACAAGAGCACCAAGGTGTGTTTCTCAGTTACTGTATGACAAAATTGGTGGTTAACTGGCTGAGGCAGGGACGCTGGAAGACAAACGGTTTGGCAGTGTACTCTTCACTGTGGATGGTGCGGAAGTACTGATGGGCCAGCGGGAACCTGAGGTGGCTCTAAGATTATCAGAAAGAGAAGCACACAAAATAATAACATTATGATGAGTTATGCAGGAAAAAAGGTTCACATGAGACTGGGATGCATTACATCCAATTTCTCAAGAGCATTAGCAGTCAAAATGTGCAAACTACTTATTAAATAAACTGCTGCAGGAGGTACTTGTTTAGCTAACACACTTTTTACAATTTTAACTATACCAACATTATTATTTGCTATGACAGTTACTACAACTAAAAACAAATATTATGGATCTACCACGCTGCTGATTCTGTCAATAAAATTACATAGGTGAGTGGTAGCATTTTTGATTTAAGTTTGTGACCTCTCACCCTCTGCTGTGACGGAAAAGGTGTCCGTCTGCTGGCCTTCACAGGGAGGTAATCACACTTGGTGGTGCTGGGGTTCAAGTCACGTTCTGCAAAACAGTTTAAACTCATTTAATATCTTCATTTACCCCCTTTCAAACACACAAATGCAACTGATCAATCACCTGCGCCACTCAGTATGTTGCTGGGCAGCGGGATGGCTGGTCTGGCCCGCTCTCCATCCTGTTTGCTGAAGTTTTCTTTGGCCGTGGTCGAGTAGCACATGCTCGACAGACGGGATGGGCCGAACTGCACGTGGCTCTTGGTCATCAGGTCAGTTCCGGGTACATGAACTGGAAGCGCTGTTAGGCTCAGCTACAGGGGAACAGCCAGTATTATACAATATGGCACAATAGCATCACTGCATAACACTTTAAACTTACTGCATGAAATCTACTTCAAAGTCTAAAGAAATAGGAATACAAAGGTCAAAATGTACCTGAAGTGAAAAAATTGTTTTATCTTTATGATTAATGCAATTATGAGTATAAATACAAAAACAAATAAGGATGTAGAACATCTGTTATCTCACATCATAGAAAGAGGTTCTGTTGGTCGTGACAGACATCCTCTCTTTGTCGCGGCGGGTATCGGTGTCCCCTTTGGGCAAGGAACTGTAATTTTCGTTCCTCTTTGTCACAACAACTGGATCTTCTAGGTAAAACACATTTGCAAATCGTAAAAATGGTTAGAAATATGCACTGTGCACACACACATCTTCTGAGTTACCTAAAGTTAATTCTGATGATACCCTGGAAACAAAAATGTATCTCATGAATGTAATGTGCTAAACAATTGCTGAAAAAGCACCAGCTGTTTTACCATTTTCTAGTTGAGATCAAACAGTACATTACATGTTACTTGTTAGACGCTTTTATCCAAAGCGACTTACATACTCAATACTGTGGGCAATCCCCACAGGAGCAATTTGGGGTGAGGTGTCTTGCCCAGGGACACAAAGACATCCTGACTGCAGTGGGACTCGAACTTGCTATCCTTTGATTTGAAGATCAGCGCAACCCACTGCGCCACACGCCTCCCACAAGTAACATTTAAAAGCTCAAAATAATTATTTAATGGGCTAAAGGGATCTTCACTGTGGTAAAATAGGTAATAGATTTCAATTGCCAGATAGAAACAGTGAAACCCCGGGGGCAAAAACCTGTCTGGATATTAAATCTCACCAATCTTGTAGTGAGGGAAGGCTTCTCTGGTTGTGGACGACCATATCGGAGAGAAACTTCCAAGGCTGAGCTTCAAACGCTCCGTCGTCAGCACAGGTGGGCTGAATGAAAATCAAAGAAATTGCTTTCATATGCTATTATATTTGTGTTAGAAGAAACTCAATACACGATAATCTGAGCTTCTAAGATTGGCAATATTATTTCTAAAATGTAATATTTTATTATATATTTTAGTTTTTTGAGGACTTTGAGTCACTGAAATGTGAAATGTTTTCACCAAGAGCCAAATTATGCACTGAGAGCAATAAATGTCTGAAATAAGATCTGAAGGATGACAAAAGGCCCTATACAGCAATGGTTTCCTGAGTTTGTGAATTTGGTCAATGGTCAATTTAACATAAAATTGGTGTGTTTAGGATGTTAACTGGGTCCCATGGTGGGAGTTTTTCCAGAGAAGCAAAAAGGCTGCAGACCTGCAGCCAGTGGGCCGGCTGAATGACGCAGCGTGGGTCGTCTCTCTCTCTACGATGTTCACAGGGTCTCCCATAGCCACTCCGGAGTGCTGAGGAAAAACATTGTAAAAGTTCTCATAGTTTTGTGCTTATAACACCCATTTCACGGATAGCTTCATAAATAGGTCCATACTGCTGGCACTGTTGTATACTCAAAGCTGATATTGCTGGTACTTCAGGTCATAGAGTCTTCACTTAGGATGCACACATTTGTGCTGCATTCAGTTTTACCCTTTTTATTCAGTCTGTTGTTTAACCTAAGTCAGCTTCCCTGGAACTGCTGAGTAGTTAAAGATTACTAGTTATATTTAAAAAACAGAATAATAAAACATTTGATGGGTTTTCTTAACCTACTCCTGTGCCTAAACCAGTATAACACAGAGGGATCTGCATAGTTACGGATGTAGAAACGTTGAGCTGTGTAACTGAACCTGTGAAAATAGTTGATATTTTATATGCTGATTATGTGTTTTGAATGTAAAAATCCTAATCTTTAAAGTAACTATAGTGACTATAGTTTTAGTGGTGTAAAAAGTTCATAACTTTCCCCTAAAATGGATATTATGAGGGAATTTAAATGTAAAAAATAGTTGAAGAAAATATCTAAATGTGAGTTGAATGTGAGTAAAATAAGACTTTTGGTACAGTTTGAAGACTCAGTGCCAATGTTGTTTCCAATCAAATGTGGTAATGTGTGTAATACATTTTATTTTTTACTTTTAAAACCATCGTATGAGTCTTTTCAGTCAAGCCATGCAGTGTTTCCTTTGATAGCTCATGTCCAACACTGCTGCTGTTACCTTTTCCACAGGCACAGCTGCTCTGCTCCAGGCTCCCAAGAAGCTGTTCTTGTACTGGGAGAGCAAACTTTGATGGCGCCTGTCCCCTTTGATCGTGGGAAAGCCCTCTGCTACAGAGAAAAAAGTTAATTATTGCATTCTTTCTTCGGAATTCATAGGTAAACACTCACACAGCTATTCTCATTGTTATTTTGTAGTGTCAACACAGTTGCCAGTTCATTTCTAACTGGGTTTGTATTCATGTTCATGTCAATCAAATATGGCTTGACACTGAATCCATACTCAAATATGTATTTAACTTTGTATTCAGAAAATCTAAAATAAATAACTAATGTTGTCACTTACCCAGATGTTTGGCTGAGGCTTTTAAAACAGGACAGCAAATGTGTGGTGTGTAGGAGGCTTGGTTGGTGCTTTCTGGCAGCTTTTCTGCATGCTGGATCACCTTGGGGGTTTCTATCTGTCGGATAGGAGAGGGAGGGGGCTGGAAAGGCTGGAGGCAGAATTTCTGGGACTGTGTGGTGAGGAAAGCCTCCTCCCCAGGGTTGGTTTGCATCTTGAAGTTAGTCTGTAGCATGGTCCAGGCTGGGATGCGGGTGATTTGTGGCAATTTGTGAGCATGGTAGGACTCCTTTGCGTCTGTCCGGTACTCCTTGATGTGCCTCAAGTCTTTGTGGTCCACCTGGGCTGCTGTAGGTGGACTAAAAGGTACTGCTTTCTTGGAAGTAAAAGGCCTGTATTCCTCCTGAAAACGTGTTGAGAATGCATCCGGGCGGTCCCTGTCCAGAAATGGGATATTGGAAGACAGGAAGAAGTCTTTGCCGACAGGACGGCCTTGGATCAGTGTTTTCACCACGGCAGACATATTCAATACCACCACTGCCACATTACATTACTGTACTAGCCATCTTCTTCTGCAGCAGGTGAAAAATGCTGCAATGCCTCACCATGGAAACCTCTGTGCTATGGAACATGATGATGCTGATACTGTTGCTGCTGATGTCAGGTGTCCAGTTACCTATAGCCAAATGCAATAAGTGGACTGGATACACATTTATTCAATAGTAACATTTTATCCAGGTTAACACAAACAAATGCTCTCACTCGAGGAATAATCTTGCCAGAAATTAATACATTTTTCTGGTTGTAATTGAGGATCTAATTGTGTAACTACACAGTTATATGCATAATTCAGAATTACCTTAGATACACTTACAATATCAACTTGCATTATTCATTTAGCAAATGAATGAGCAATGCAATTTCATTGGAAGTGTTTTAAGTTTTGCCATTTAAAAACACATTATATGCATATATGATATATCACACCACATTCAAATAAATACTTATTAACATGCACGTTACATAGCCTGTGACATTTATTTTTTAGAAAACCCTGCAAATTAAATATGGACATTTATTTTTTAGAAAACCCTGCAAATTAAATGTAATCTTATATAAAATGTAATGAAATGATACACTTGTATGCTGGACATACTATAAATTCACGAAATGCATCGTGCATGTTCACAATGTTGCTCTACTTTACAACAGCAGTTGTCAGTCAGATAGGGGTCCAGACCTGTCACTGAAGGATAGGTCTTCTGCTGTGGGGTATTTTAGTGAACCCCCTTTCAGAAAGAAGAGGAATATAATCGTAGGTGCTCAAACACAAAACCCATTAGCCTATTATCTGTTGTTTAATTAGCCACAAATGCGCACAGTGTAAATGCTGTGACAGCTCTTAGCATGAGTCACACTTCTCGCTGCCGCCCTCGATTTTGTGAAAAATAATTCTGGCATGTATATATAACAATTTAAAAGTAATATAACAACATTTATAAAAAAAAATAAGAACAAAAACAATTCTGTAATAATCTTAATATTAATAAAAAATGTACTGAATATGCTGAAGTGTGTGGTCACTTCAATAATTGTCGTAACCTTTGAGTTATAATTTACAACGGATTTCATTATTAGGGCCTATACATGTTTGCAATAGTGACTAGATAACAAGTAATATTCCTTTTTTGTTATTTTTTTAAGTCCGAATGTATTTTTTCTTAATTTAATTTAAAAGAATCGCTCGTAGGCTTTTATTCCCAAGGAAACCAGAAATAGGAAGTGACGTATTGCAGCCTGAGCCTTTTCCGCTCTCTTTTCGTTGAGGCTCAGCTAACGGCCGGGTGGGTACACATTTTGTCTAGTACATATTCATCGAATTGTATTGAACGTGGAGTTGTTGAATGCGATTAAAACAGTATGTGGTTGTCCCATATCGACTGTTAATGTCTATAAAGCATTTCGGCCTCTGTTAGAAATCAGAAAATAGAGAAAATAGTGACTGAGCGCCACGCTTGTGGTACGCATGTGGCGAGGCCCCGCACCGAGTTCACTCTGATGCTAACATTAGCTAACACATCGATAGCTGCTAACCAATAGCCGAACAACTTGTCACATTTCACATTAAGGTTGTAAAATGATGGAACGCTTACCATTTCGGTGTTAACGAAAGTGTATGTCTCTGTGTCGTGAACTTGAAAAATGCTCTCAGTTATTGTTTGGTTAGCTGAGTGAGCGTCTCTAAACTAAGCTAACTTCAGTTTTTCTTTCAGCCTGCAAACATGCAGATCTTCGTGAAGACGTTGACGGGGAAGACCATCACCCTCGAGGTTGAGCCCAGCGATACTATCGAAAATGTCAAGGCAAAGATCCAGGACAAGGAAGGTGAGGCATCACATTTGAGTCGTAACTTGAGGGTGGTCTTGACAGCTTGCTGGCTATCAACTTATACTTAAACATATGGCTTTAGTTTACTGTTTTGTACATGTGGAAGATCAATGCTCTGTTATACTGTTACAATCTGCTTTGGATCAAGCCAGTAGACTTGGTATAATGGCAAATTTAAATCCCTGCACCATTAGTCAAACTGTTAATTAATTTAGTTCAAAGAACAATATTGTAATTTTAAATACAGGAACAAGTGTGTTATTGTTGAGACATTAAAATAAACAATTGTAGTACAGCTAACAGTATTTTAAACCATTTGGCACTTTGCCTCCAGTACTAAAATAAAATGGTTGATCGTGGTAAATTATAAATTGGTTATTAAGTGTTATTGTGTTTTCAGGAATTCCCCCAGATCAGCAGCGTCTGATCTTCGCTGGCAAACAGCTTGAGGATGGACGTACTCTCTCTGACTACAACATTCAGAAAGGTAACTGCTGCTTTGTGTAAATCCATGTTTTATTATTTTAAAAGTATAAACTGTAAAAGGATTTTTTGTGAAATGCTAAAGTGGAGAGGATTTTCTGTTGTGCTGTCTTTGGATGTGACAACTTGAGCTTGACATCAATTTTTTTGAACTATCCCCCAGAATCCACTCTGCATCTGGTTCTGCGTCTGCGTGGAGGCATCATCGAGCCTTCTCTCAGGATGCTGGCCCAGAAGTACAACTGCGACAAGATGATCTGCCGCAAGTAGGTTCTTTAAAAAAATCATTAAGTATTTATTTAAATCAATTGGCGTTCAATGCTGCTGTTATTTACTGTGAAGTAATAGGGTTTGACTAAAACACTTTAAACTGCACCCAAAGCAGTGTGGTTTGGGTGCAGTTTAAATTAAGTGATGAACTTCACAAATTAAAAAGGTGGATGAGTAGTTTGATTGCAAGTTGTTGTGGTTAATTGTAAATATTTGCTGAATTGGAAAATCCAACAGTTTTGCCACTTTTTTTCACACTTGGGTCTTAAAACCAGATGCAGTTTTTCCATGTGGCGGCAAAGATATTCCTAAAGTTGCTAGCATAAATAAATATTGTGGTTTTAAGAACTGTATGATCGATTGTTGGTTCAGAAGATTTTACTTAATAGTTGACTCCTGAATGCTTGTTTTACAGGTGCTATGCCCGTCTGCACCCCCGTGCCGTCAACTGCCGCAAGAAGAAGTGTGGCCACACCAACAACCTTCGCCCCAAGAAGAAGCTGAAGTAGACATTTGAACTAAATCGGCTCTCTATGCCATTTTGTGTTAAAATAAATGTGAGAAAATGGTGCTCCTTGTCTGATGTGTATTTTTATGTGGTGGGGAGAAATTGTATATTTTTGGTTTAGTAAAAATCACGTGTGTAATACAGGATCATAATGCTGTTCAAGGTGATATAAACTGCATGGGGAAAGTAACCAGAGTGACTTAGACAAATTCAATTGGTGCAATACATTTTTTTACTTTTGCCAAATGTTTCCAAAGGAAAATGTAAGGATGATTTAGCAGCATTTCGTCAAAGGTCCGTTTACCCTCTTATCTGGGTAATTCAGTAACCCTGCTGCTTGGAACTGGCTCAGGTCTAAACCAACAATGGGTGCACTCCAAAAATTGTCTAGCACAGTGCTGGTAAAGAGTGGTTTCAATCCGGCACTCACAATGGTACATCTCGTTTCTGTCTGACCAAGTTACACAAGCAAAGTAACAAGTGTCCAAATGCATTTCTAACAATACAGATCAGTTTGAACACTTCACAGTGCAAGTAAAGGACTTTTATGATGGATTATAAAGAGTTTTTTTTCCTTGCCCTCCCCTCCCAAAGACCACAGCAGTGACTTTACATGACCGGGTTTTAATGTCAAACAGTTCTATACAAATATAAGGAACTCATCTCACATTTTCTAAATATTGTACCATACAAACACATGCTCTCTACAAGCTTAGTTATTCTTATAAAAGATCAAAACGGCATCTGAAGGACCCTTTTTTCCTCTTGTTGACCAACATTTCAATGAAACGAACTAAAGCAACGTGAGGTCATTTGGGTCTTACTGAAATGTCAAATGTAGAGACAGCAATTATAAGAACAAGTTCGATTTAAAACATCTGAGATGAAGTTGTTTTTTCCAGTTAAGTGGCTTTATCATGACAGGTGCATCTTTGGTACTGCATTTTCTTTTGAAGCTGTAGCTTTTGTTTTTTTAAAGGCCTTATTCCAGTGTATACAGTATAAAAAGGAATCCACTCCGATATTTAAAACATTCTGTTTACTCTACAATTTATTTGTGGTTCAGATTTCTGCATTTCCCAGAATGCATTATCCCTTTCAATAAGGGGTTTCAACATTTATGCAATCCAGGGCAGCCATATTGAAACAGAATAATGCACATCAGTAGCAGATCCCTGAATAGCCTGAAATATTCTGTAGATTTCTTCTTTAACTTTTTTGAAACCTACAATATTACTGAAATTGCTGTCGCAGCCTGGAGCTCCCTTTCTGTGTACACAGTAATATCATGTATGTACAGTGTTATTGTGCATTAGTGATACACTGGAATAAGGCCCTTGAAGCAAAGTGTTTGTGACATCAACCATGATGAGCTCGTGCAGAGGAGGCGATGGCCTCTACAATTTCTCCATGCTTAATATAAGGCTGGTCAATCTGGTGGACCAGTTGTGAAGAAGCACTTCTGTTGTTGAAACTGAGGAGAAAAAGGCTTTACAGAGGTCTTATAACCTGTAAACTATTATCAGTCATCTAAGCTAAAAACATTATTGCTAATTAAATAATTCTTACATGTAGCGGCTGATGTCAGAACTCCAAGATGGTTTGTCAAATTGATGAAAATAACATTAACTGGTAGTACTGATTTTAGGACAGTAAATGCGATATGTTTGTGCAATCTTGTAGGACAGGAAATCCAACTCAAACTATATATTAAACAGTGTCATTATAAATAAACCATCAGTTATGATACAACCCCTAAAAGCAATAATTGCAGGTTACGGTAATTAAAGAGTTCTGGTGCATTAACTGGTAGTTTATTATATTACCATCACGTTGACATGTTAGTAGGATTATGGCAGTTACTGCATATTGAACTGCACATTATTTGTACCTATATTACGTCACATGATGTATTCAATAACTCATCGGGGGTATCAATAGATACTGTGCATCAGAGGTTCACATACAAAGCTGACAGACAACTGAATTGAGTACCTTTTTACTAAAAACTACTGCATTTGTGCTTTTTATCTCGAGCACTGTCAGGTTGAAGCCTGCTAAGTTTTGTGCACACAAGCAGCTTCAGATTCCTCGGTAGCTACGGGGCTTCTTCAGATCTCATGCAGTGCTCTCTTTGTGATCTATGCTCTGCGGGTTATTTTTACTGTTATGGTAAGTGTTAGTGTTGAGCAAAGAAGAACATGTACATAAAGTAGAACCGGATGATATTGTGGACATTGACACATGTAAACAAAACAAACTTGGCACAAACATAATCAAGTGTAGCCCCAGGTTCAACTCAGCAGGGTGGGAAAGTAGTGTCTCTGTCCACAGCCACATGTCTGGACCTCTCCTTCAAATGCTGATCAACCCGGTAGCAGCTTGAATTTAGCAGAAAATTGGGTGATAGCAATCTCCAATTTCCCATTCTGACAGTGAGTAACCCACCATGAATAATAGAATATAGTGGTGAGAAAAGAGCAGTCCTTATGAAACATGGAGAAAAAAGGTTGTACAATGGCAGGACACATTTGGGTAATGTTTCGAATGTATTAGTTTGTTTTGTTCTGGCTGGTGTGAAGCAAGTCCAGCCTGCTGATGGTCAACTGGAGCTGGAGTTATTCAGGTTTGTTTTTGCCTCGACGTGTGCTTATCATGACCTCACTCTTCCTGGGTACATCTCCACAGTGTTTCATGAACGGTGTCCTCAACATGAACTGTACTCAAAGTTGTTACTGTGTAAAAGTAGACATTTCTATTACTTGCAGTGACTTTTGAGTTCTACAAAACCTTGTGAGAAAATACATATCTATAAATGTTATCTACACAGGGCTCACTTCAGATTTGGGCTGTTTAAGACTTCTGCCAAACTGAAGTGAACAAAACATTTATGGATAGTTTTATTGTTGTTTCTATAAACCAGAGGTGCAGAATTATGATCAAATATTTATGATTCATATAGGTATTAAAATGTAATTGCACATAAACCTTTATTTTTCAACCATTTCAAGTTTTAATACGTGTCCCTGCAGGAAAGCGGCACACTGCTGGCTTTTAATAAACACCGTCAGGAACTTGTTTTTTTGTTTCTTTCCTAGTTTTTCTGCCACTTAATTCAGTAAGGGAATATACTCATACACGTGGATCACCCTCTCTGTATTAAATAAAGATACAGTACATCACATAAAAACTGAATAACGGGTACGAAATGTCTACTTTTGCAAAATAGCAAGCACAGAATTCATTTTGGTTTAATTCCTCAAGGTGCTTTAAGTATGTTTTGATATCAATAAATGATTACCTCAGTCCTTTGGGGCATCAGTAAAATTACCATAAACAATTCAGACCATTCAGGAGCCACTACTCAGCATTTCTCATTGTAAACCGTCAGATACTGACAGAATACACTGGACTGCTATAGCATCATACAGAGGAGAGTGCTGCTTTTGGAGATAATTGATGGAAAGCTTTCTGAGTGTTCATTGATGGCAGATAGTGAAAAGAGTAAAAACCTGGTGTATAAATGCTGTTATCCTCTTCAGGGGCTAAATGACATGCAGCAGCTAGGATCAAGGATATAGAGAAACAAGCTGTAGTAGCAAGTTGAACCACACTGTCAACTGTTTATGATAATAATACCGAGGCTCCAGTATTAATGTCACAATACTGTTTTATTCTGCACATAGCACCTTAAAAGAGGATTCTGATACCTGCTGTTTACCTGCACTGATCTTATAAACACAGATCCATGGAGGTAAACACCAGTAAAAGTTCCTCCATAGTGCTTTGATTGTTGCTCTCCTGATAAACCAGTAAAACACAAATCAAAGCGCCACGGTTGGAACCAGAGCTGACTGTGGAGATGCAACCCGACTGTAGCTGTGGCTATTTGTCGATGAGTTTTGCCAGGCTCTGTCTCAAGTCGTTCAGGTCGCAGATTTTGACGTCCAGAACCTCGATGATGCGCTGGACCTCGACCTCCGCCTGGTTCTGCTCCTCCCGGCTGGACGCCAGCGTCTTCTCAGTACTCTGGACCCGATCCTCCAGGTTGCTGTTGAGTCTCTCCAGATCCTGTACACACATGAACTGTTGTTAGTAGGGAAACATAAATAATAATACAAAAATATATAAATAAAATACAATTTTAAAAATAATTTTCGATTATGGAGACTGTAACGAATATTCGAAAAATCGAATATCGCTGGCATCCCTAGTTGTTAGTACAGTTTTATACATCTGCATGGAGATATGGATATATTGTCTGCATGGGTTGGTGTTCAATTTGCATTCCTTCTTTTAATTATTTTGACCTGCAACCAGAATTCTTAACAATGTATAATGAATTTGGTTTTGGGATGTACATTACAGAGCTGTATTGTAAACCACCCTGGTCAAGAATGTCTACAAATGTAGGCCTGGAATACCCTGACTCCTGCTGTTATATCTGCCAGCTCTGTACTTAACAATATGCTGATAAATGTTAAAGTGGGATGAGTGTTCAAAAATGACATGTGCTATGGTCAATGCTTTTCTCCTACCTGCGTGGTTCCCCTATTGAACTCTTGGGCACACCGATTATCAATACTCAAAATTAGGGTATACATATTTGTGCATGTTTATATCCGCTAGCTTAGTGTAGCATGAGTACAATGTATCCTAGTGTAAGTCTACACACCTTTAATCTTTATTGGAAGTATTTGTGTATTCTGTGAACATGAACATTTATATAGTACTGATGCATACACTAACAATGACTAAAACTGCCAATTCAAACTGGAGCAGAGAAAACTAGCAGCAGCAGCCGTCGTGGAACAGCTTCAGAGGAGGTACCAGTAAAGCACTGGTATCTCAAAAAACAGTCCAGCGTTACTTAAATGCATGTAAACTCTCACTCCTTGTGTGGCTGCACACTGATATGAAGTTTTCAGAGGATGTCATAGTATATAAACTGTTTATATTGTAAATTTTAAATGTGCCATTTTGAGTAATTCTGTATGCCAAATGCACCAATGAATAGATTATGGAAGTAACCCAAGGACAGCAAAGGTCATATATGAATACACATAATTCACAACTGACACCACTGCTCAAAATGATGGAGAACCTAATTAGGGCTATGCAATATGCATCAGGTATTATCCCCTGCGTTAGCATGGCGACTTGACACTATTAACTTCTCCTTGAAGTACGAGTTCTCCTATACTGATTATCTGCTGCAGGTATGCACTGTGCTGCCTTTGTTTCAGCCACAGTATCAGCACTTAGATGTTCCACCCTGTTTGGTTTTTAGAGCAATAGAAAACGACCTATTAGCATTCTTCACATTTTTTATGACATACTTTACAATGGTTTGTTGAATAATATACTATACAAGGAAGCTTCTAGTCTAGCATGGACACCTCAAACCATCTGAGCCATGTTAAAATAAATCTTATATGGTGAAGATAACAGAACCAGATACATCAGTAACATATAAAACACACAATGAACATTTCTGATATGAATATATAGTAGTCATAAAACAGTTTGTACTGGAATAAGGACTTGAATAGAAATTCTGTGAAGACTGACGTGTTGAACTCTTTGCAAATGAATCGCAAGCATCAGAAAATAATGTCTATGTTCACACGGAAGATGAAATGCTTTCATCTCCCTGTCAATGAAAGTGGATTTTCTACTTTTGACAATGTAGGTGAGAAATACAAATACAATGAACCAGTTCTATTTCTCATATTTCATGAGTCTGTTGTAGATGTTCTTTAAGAGTTAGAATGTCCTAGGACACATTTTCTTTGGTGATTTTCCGTATTACTGAAAGATCTCAGATATTAGTGTCGAAGAATGTTGGTTCCTATGGATCACTTCAGTGAATAATTTCTCTTTGGAGCCTCTTTACTGTCTGCTGACATGGGAGAAATGGCAATTAAGCAAATTGAATGCAACATGACGGTTTTTCATGAAAAAGAAAAAGAACATTTAGCCTTTTTTTGTGTCTCACCTCAAGTCTCTGTATGGTCTCTTCTCTTTCCTTCTCCAGCTCACCCACATCTGTTTTCTTGCTCTGTAGATTGTGAATTTCCTGAAAGCACAGTGATTTGAACTGTCACAACACCACCCCACTTCCCACATATTCACCCTTCCTGCTGCTAAGATCATCGAATATTCATCTTGTGTTTTGCACCCTAAAACTTCATGTGGATTAAAAAGGGCCATTTATGAGGTTGGTGATAAGGTTTGGGGCACCTTGATGTTTCCGGGGAGGAGGGGGACTCAGCCCCTGGGGGAACATACCACCTTGAGCTCGCATGAATAATCAAGCCACAATTAAACTTGTTTAGATGATTGACAGACATGGTTATGTAATTGAGGAAGGAGGACAGCAGCAAGGTGCTTTCAAGGAATATTTAATTTTATCGTTTGGTTTTATTTATGCAGAGAAAATGTGCCCAGAATGCATTTGATGGAAATTGACATAAGGGACATAAAACATCATATTAAAGTAAACTTGGAAATAGCTAATAAAGTATCTGGTATTTTTCCAAAGCTCTCTTTAGGCCAAACATTTAAAGTTACAAAAGAAGAGCTTAAGTAAAATCCCCATAGAGCGTTCTCTTCTCAACATTTTGTTCAGTAACTATCTTTTGGTTATTGAATCGGAAATATCTTATTTGAAGTTTTAAGTTAATTTAGTGAGTATACATACTTAAACTGGCACTTTATACTTTTCAAACTCTCTTTTCTTAATATATTTATTAATTAGCAAATGTTTTTTAAACCTTCATCAGATGGATATGGAGGCTCTATTCTCAAAAACGGAATACAAACACATATCCAGTGAATTATTGGCAGTATATTATTTGCTTCTCTAGGCTGGCTTTCCACACTGAGGTTTCTTTGAGGTTAGGAGATGGATTTGGACAAAGTGCAGTGCAGTGAACTTGTGTTCTTGCCTGATCTTTGGCGCTCAGCAGGGCCTCCAGCTCCTCCAGGGACTGACTCAGCTCCTCTCTCGCAGACTGACCGGCAGCAGGGTGCCCCAGCTGGCCCTCAAGCTCCGCCACCTGCAACACAGACAGACACACAATCAATACATACTTCTTAACTAAACTAATTTATAAAGCGCGTTTCATTTTAGACATTATATAAGATAAGATTAAGATTTAACCGCCTTGCTAGTGGCTCTGTGAGGCTGTACTTCAATCTATCAAATCGTTATTAAGGTGTTAAATGTCAGCCATCTGGTGTTTGGTTGGTGGTCTCTGGGAGCGAGAGATGTCTGCACCAAATGTCAATGCAATCCATCCAAGAGCTGCTGAAGTACTTCAGTTTGGACCCTGTCTTCACATTTTTTAAGTACAAATGTATTTTTAAATCATATTTTGAATAACTCTGAAAGTAACATTTTGATCAGTTCATTTCAAGTGACTTTTTGTGCCACATTTAAGAACATTTCTTCATGGCATTGCTGAATCGTCGCATTTATAAGAATGAAAAGGACAAATAGACCGACTAACCAACCAAAAACCTTATGCCTCGTGCCATGGCAGACGCAGCAGCCAACGTGGAGGCATAACAATGAATAGAATTGTAAGAAAATTAGTCTCCTTTGTAAACAACATGGCTCTCATTTGGAGCCTTATTGATGAACATCAGCAGCAGACTAGACATAAAGAAACAGAAAATGTAACAATGCTAAACCATTCTCCATCTTACACTCAAGCACAGAGGTCATTTAACATTGTATCGATTTGAAACTACTACAGAAAAAAAAACGTACATTTTTAATCTTAGTTGGATCAGACCAAGTTTCATGGGAATCCTTAAACAGATTTTGCGTAATTTGCTGACAAACAAGTATGTGGTTGGTAAACAAAAATCTATTTCTCTATCTAGAGAAAATTATTTACTGGGATTTCATTTTAGCTGTGATCCAATGAAAAGCTTTGAAAATGTTACATAAACAATATTTTCAAAAGCTATGCCACAATATGGGGGGTCATTTTATAAATCAAATTACCCTTTACCTCCATCACACACTACGGAAATCAGCAAAATTAGCTTTAAAAAGGGTTTTACATGACGGCAGCGACTATCAAGTACAATATAGTCCATACAAATATACAAGTAGTGTGATAATTGTTACTGATGGAAATGAGGAACTTCAACTGAGGGTCACATCGCCTACACACACCCATCTACATAAACACAATTAATTCTCTCTCTTGAATATCTCCATACACACAGATACATGCAGTCACCACACTAACAACATTAACTCACAACTGCCTGTGGTCACGGAGCTGAAACTTTGCATTGAAGATTTCTTTTTTGGATGTGACCTTGTAGAAATTTATAATTTGTTCTCCCCAATCTGACCCACTTCCTTGTGTTTAACATATTTATGGGAAAACCAAAAAGATGGTGAGTGACATTTTGACTAAACAAATTGTTCAGCCTTTGAAGTTGGAACAGGATGTGATTTAAAGTTTTGACTTTCATTTCAGCATGCTCTAGGAGTAATCTGATTAAAACAACAATATAATGGTGTCCCTAGTGTTAACAAAGTTGGAAACAAGAGGCTTTGTGCATAACAAGCTTTACACAGATGACTTCACACTGAGAAAACAAACAACATAATGTTATCTGAGCCTTATCAATCTGACATTAGTCCTTCTGAACTCTGCACAGTTTGAGTATCTGAATGTTTGTATTTGCCCTAAAAAAAAATGTACGTTTCGTGTTTAAGCGTTGAAACAAGTTAGGTCAAATGAGTTGAGGAATATCTCCCGTGCAGATAACATGTTACATGAAAGTGAGAGTAATTGGATTAAATTGATAAAAAATGTGCCTTTTTTCACAATGACATCTGACAGTGAAGCTTTTGTTTGGAAAATTACTACAATCATCTTGAATCTCTAAAATAAACTGTAAGAAGTCTAAGCATTTAAATAATCAATATTGATAATAATAATAATAGTTTGCTGTCAGAAAATAATTTATTTAATTAATTAACAGTTGACCCTCAGTCTTTAGGTTATTTTGACGATGCAGTTATCATCACAATGCTGGTCATTTCTTCATCTCTCCAATGTAGATGTGTGTGTGAAGGGGCAGAGGGATTCCTGCTCCCATGTGAACAATTTCATTTCCTCCCTTTAGCATCTACTCTGTATTTTCAAAGTCCCTTTTCATAAATTTCACGCTACGCCACGTTGTGGGTCCACATGATCCCAGAGGATTCAACACCTTCATATCCACTCTGTGTGACAGCTGCTGTCCCCAGAGGCACCCGCTCCGTGTCTGACCTCCAAACAGATACACATGGAGAAAAACATGCAACATCTCCAATTTCGTATCTAAATTATTATCTAGAAACCTTTTGCTGTCAACCAATTCATAGGAGATTGAAAAACAAATGATATTGTATTTATATATATACAAACTATACATTTGCATTGACATCTTATTCAGATTCCTGATTCTCTAAAACGTACAATAGTTAAAATCACGAGCAAAGCTAAATAAATTAGCAAAATGTAATCCAAACAACATATTGACAGAAATCAAGCATCAAACCTATTAAAATCTGCTACAATCAAATACATTATATACCCAAGTACTGCACTCCATATGTTGCTAATTCTCATTAGTACTGAGCATGGGTCAAAGTCAACACAGAGAATAAACGTTCTGCTGTGGATCAACACAAACAAGGCCGATCAACACAAACATGGCTGAAGCCGAGTGTGACGAGGTAGAACAATCCAGCCTCTCTCCCTCTGCAGTTATGATGATTTATCTTCTTTCGTTAACTGGGGCAGAAAGAGGGGAGGATGGGCAGTAGGGCCTATAGGGCGTCCTGTCCCCCCAAAAAATAAAAAAATAAACCCTGCCCCCCCTCTCAAACCCAATTGACAATCCCTGGCGGCCTGCTCTACTTCTAGCCACCTGGTTGACTTTGCTGCAGTGTGTGTGTAACTGTGTGTTTGTGTTTTGGGGGGGTAACCTTCACCTGGACTCGCAGATATGAAACCACAGTGTGGGCTAAAAATAAAAAAGGGCCAGTTTTCTGTCACTGGTGGTTATGGTTCCATTGCAGGCCGGTTGCAGCAGCACTTAATTCTGTCGCATTGAGGAAGCCTTGTTAAGCTTGACCAAGGGCATAATTTCCTCTCTGTAAATGAAAGATGAAATATCTGCCATTATCCAGGGAGCCTGTCAACAGAAATATCCCAAGGAAGGGCTGGATGAAAAATGCATCTGCAGTTTGGAAGAGACTAAATCTGTGTGGGGATTTTAATGTGATAGTTATAAATGATTGCTCTTATAAAAATTCTGAATAATTTCCAGTCGCTATCCGAGTGATCACATAGTGAGGGAAGTAAGAAAAATAGTCTTATAGACCATAAACATTGCTAAACAAAGAGTCCTTTTGTTTAATTTCAGAATATAAGCATATGAATATATAACCTGATTATACTTCATAAAAAATGTATTAGTTTGATTTAATTTGGCTAATGATAACTCTAAATACGTATTTTGTTTCCCAGATTTGTGTTTTCAGATTGAGAGTATCCAAACTACCCCCCAAAAAACTGCTCCTCAGCATATGCAGATACCCTTGTCCCTGAATCAAATACTTTTTATAGTGACTTGTTTTTTTAGACTTCATATTTCCTCTTTTGGGTCAGAAACTATTGACAGGAAGCAGGGAATTACTTAATGCAGCACTGATGTAAAAATATTAAACTGAGCACACTAAATCGAAACAGGAAGTCTATGCAGGGTTTGTGACGCTGATCAAACCTGTTTTATGCAACTTTTCATCCGTATTTCTGAGCGATTACCGTTTGACCTCCTACTACACCAAGAGAACAGAAAGTACATTTTCCCTTTGGGCAGTGTCTGTTTTGTTTATCCACCATGTACAGCGACCTTGGGTCCCTTGAAAGGCGCTATATAAATATCATTTATTATGAGAAAAAAGCACAGCCTTTAAGACCCTCAATTGTGATTGTAAAACGACAAAGTAAAAAGAAAACTTAAGTTAAAAATATGTGGGAAACTTGTATTTAAAGTAAGGCATAACTATAGTAACAACACTAATGCTTCACACTACTATCACCGGTTAAATTAACCCAAACATTGGTTCAACAGATGATAAATAGTTGAAACATAGCATTCCTTCTTGATACACTTTGAAGTGTTGAAATAGTACAACTCTAATGGGAACGTTTGTTGTATATTATTGTTAAGATGGCTTATTGTATCCTGAATTGCTTGTATAGTCAGTTTCAAACATGTTTAAAATAATGTCATAGGGCAAGAATAGACTCAAAATTGTGTGAAATACAACATTTGCTTGATAACACATTAACTACGGCCTCAGAAATGAACACTAAATTGAATCATCAGCACCTCAACAGTCTCAGCTTTTAGCAGACATTGTGAATTGCACTTCGTAGTTTTGAGCTGCAGGGGTATTGTATCATTGGCCCGCTCTGCGTCACCTGGTCTCTGAGGCGGTCGGTCTCCTCCTGGTATTCATCCAGCTGCTGCTTCCACTGCTCCACGCTGCTGCTGGCCTCCTGCAGAGCTGCCACCAGCTTAGCGTTACTGTCCTGCAGCGTGAAGAGCTCGGCCTCCAGGTTTATCTCACACATTGACCTGAAAGGAAGACACAGAAAGAACAGAGACTTAACTTAAAGCAGGAATCCCAATTTATGACATCTTTCACATTTCACATAGATACAAAATATTGTTGAGTTACGGTCGGAGAAGGCATAGCTAGAGATTGAAAATTCAGCAGATAACAACAGACATTTATATCATGTTGCACAAGCTGTTTGGAGTTTGTTTTAGTATTTTTTAGGAGCCAGAAGGCCAGGTTTTTAAATGTCTTTCATTCAATTCAAAAACTATGTTTATCCACTGAAATACAATAAATGTTTTATTAACCTTTTGAATTTCTAAATTCTATCTTTCTGTTGTATATACTTTGTCATTCATTTGATTTTTAAAGTTATGCTCATAACTTGCAAAGAAACAGAACAGTACGATTCATTAATAGCAGATAATTACAGAGACCACAGGGTGGCAGGGAAATAAAGCAACACAGGTGAAGCATTATCCTGCCATGTGTGGCTAAAGGACTGAATTCCACACACTTAAAATAAAGTATGGCTTGGTTTAATTTTGATCTATTAAGATGCAAAGTATCAAAGTACTTTGATTATTATTATTATTATTATTATTATGTTTTTTCTTTTTAACTGTGATTCATGTGCATTTTTTACAAGCCACATTTTTTTAATAAACATCATTTTTTTGAAAAGATCAGTGTCAGTCGTGATATTTAATAAAAACCGGAGAGCTTTCACACAGTAAGACAGAGTTGAGAAAACTCCTTGCCATGACAACCTAACTAACAGCTTTGCTTGGCAACCATAAAACTGCTCACCATAGCAACAGGAGAAAAAGCCTGCGTAGGCTTTAGACAATCAGGAAATAAAACCGTTGGGATGATAGGTTGAAAGCAGACGGGCATGAGTGTTTTGTTTCTGATTCCTGGTCTCTAATGGTATGTTGAGTGATCAATAATGAGAACCAGGATGGCGACGATAATTATGAGCTCCTAAATTCATCACCGGTATGGCTGGTTACACACACACACTTAGAGAAGTCAAACCTAAGGCCATGACTAAAAGACTGGTTTCTTCTGTATATTCTAAACAAGAGACACGCACACACGCAATACCTTTCCTTACACAGCAGTCTGCTGTCTGTGGTGCTTTGTTAGAACTAAGAAGGAGAAAGAGAACAAATCTTACACGGGTGAGTTATTTACTCTCAGAGGTACACTTATTCAATTCTGAAGAACCATTTTTACATTATTTTACAGTTTTAATTTTACATTTAGTCTGCAGTATGAGTCAGACTCCAATGCCCTGGATCAATGGTACCTGCCATGAAAACCAAAGCTCTACATATTCTCCATTTATCCATACTCTCTCCAAGTATCTTGCCTCAAAGGTTTCGACATTGTTGGCATTTTTCCTTCCCCATATTACTTGACAAGTATTTTTCATGTGTGTAAAAGGTGGAGCTTTTCATTTTCTTTTCCTGAGTTCTTCCTTATTTGTGTGATTACAATACTTAATTTCTGCATTATGTCTTTTTAAAATGCAATAGGAGACTTTTTCTGGCCACATGGGGGCAGCAAAAACAAGGTTGACAACATTAAAACGAATTCAAGTTGATATGTTAATGTTGTTAGCACATCCACAGTTATGGATCAACATTAGCATTCATTTGGAGTTGTATTTATGGAAACTAATAGGTTAATGTACAATATTCACTCTGTTATACAGTGGGCTTTAGAGCTTACAGCTGTAGCCGAAAAATTACGCTGATGACAGAGCTCGAGAGTCAACCAAAAAGAAATGTTTTAGAAATTAAATTGCAGATTCAGTTGATCATTATTTAGTTTTATCACCAAAATACCAATAACAGGCCCTTGTAATTTACATGTACTCTCCGAGTGAAAGGGTAACCATGAGGTAGTTAATGTGGATGTGATGCTTCCCTGTCAGTTAAGAAAGACAGTGTGGGTACCAGCTCGGCTCTCTGGACGGATAACAGGATGGACGTGTTGTTTGTAGAATAAATCCCAACTGCTGTCTCTACAAAACCTGTTCCCCGTGCCAATGAGTATTTTTTTCAGCTTTGTTTGATGGAAAGATAATTCAAAAGGCTGTGAACAGCTTTCAGTGGATGTTGATGAGAAGTTTGGCTATGAGCCAGAAAGAATAATTATTATTATTCTTGAATAATCATTAATATTATTTCATTCGTTGTTATTAATTATTTTGCTAGAAACATCTATGAGAAAAACTGAACCTTATGGTGGGAAATCTTTGGGCAGCTCTGCAGTTTAATCGCTCGTCATTTGTGAGGAAAGGCTTTCCACAGTTTGAGTAACACTTAATACGCTGTATAGTATAGAGCTCAACAAAATGCTCAGGGCATCTTCCTCTGCTCAAGCAGGGGGTTGGAGATGAGATTACAACCTTTGTAGTAAACTCTTTCAACTCTAACAAATAACATCTCCATTCCAGTACTCCCACACACTCACATCTGCAGCTCTCACTGCCTTATTTTAATATGTACTTTATGTCTCTGTGTCTTGTGTGTTATTGTAATGGAGTGTTGGTATTATTTCTATGCTGCTGCAAAATAAAGATTCTTTCATAAACATCGTGTTCTCTCAGCGTACATTTTCAATGCAGGAATCAGTTGTTCCTGTATCTCTTCACACTGCACCATGTTGTCAAATAAATGTTCTAAATAAAATATAAGTTAGGTTCGCTGTCTGATAAAACGTGAAATATTTATTATAGCATTACAGCTATCAAAAAAAATAAAATGTGTTTTTTGTACCAGGCAGTTTAATAAAATACATTATGCAAAACAGCAGTGAGGTGTAAAAACAACTTTCAATGTGAAGTAAATGTTCCTCCGTCTCCTGAATCTAGCACATCTCACTGAACATAACATTTTGCACACAACCATCCACACATACAGCTGGTATCAGGGCACTAAGTAATATAAAACGTGTGCATTTCCTTTGAGAATTTCAAATGGAAATGAAACCTTTCACTCAACCATATGTATACGTAGTATATCATTATTTCTTAAAAAACACACGATGTGCTTATATTATATGGTGCAAAACAACTACTAATCTACCCAGGAGGAAGTATTCAAGATTGGCTCCACATTGATGAACTACAACAATAAAAGGTATGAGGTGAGTGATAAAAACAAAATGATGTAATATTCTATAATAACATAACACTATAAAAATAGCAATTCTATATAAAAAAAATGTGCTTTTGGTTTTGATTGTTTAAAAGCATTTTGTTGACATTACTTTTGTGCTTTTACTCAAGTCACATTTTGGATTAAAGATTTATATTTTTCGACTACTAACTATTAACTGAAGTGCTTCTTAATGAGTTGTGCTTGAAAAATGTAGGCCTTTAAGCTTTCTCTCCAGACCATAGGCGCGATGAACACAATAGCATGATATACTTCATGCTGATGAAAACAAATGTGTCCTTACCCTTCAGACAACATTTTTTTGACTTTCTCCTTCTCCACCGTCAGCTCGACTTCAGCACTCTTGCTGCGAAACAGCTTTTCCTCGCCCGGCCCATTGACGGTGAGCAGCGGCGGTGAGTGGCGCTCCTCCGACAGCTCCTGGAGCAACAAGGAGGACATCACATACAGGACATGAGCAAGAGACCTTAACAGGGTACATAGTAGTGGGTTTTCTTGAGGACATTAAATGTTCCAATATGGCAATTTACTCATAAGCATAGGTTAGTGTTACATAGCTGACACATGATTAAGCATAATTAATTAGATTTTGGCTGGGTTTAGAAAGGAGGCTGGCAACAGGCCAATTAGTGTCTCCATATCCAGAGCCCTCCTCATAACAAAATGGACATGACACAGCAGCGGGACAGGACAGAGCTCAGCCTGTCAGCGCTTCATGTGTCCCATCTGGGATACTGTAGACGGGCTCCGTGCAGAGAAGTACTTTTCCCTCTTCCAGGAGTACATCTGGTGTTTGTGTGTAAAGACTAAAGAGGTATGCACCTGTTGGCTATCCTGCTATTATGTGTATGTCTGTTGAGATATTATATACACTGCACACATCTGGGAATAAGCTCACTAGCAGGGCAGATTCTAATCAGTACTGAAATACTAGTGGAATTTAATATTTATTTTGGCACCTGATTTATTTTTTTATGAATAGGTATGATAATAAAGATAATCTTTAAAGATAATCTCCAAACGACCTTAAATAAAGTAAATTCAGTAGCTGTACTTCAACTTGCATTCAAAACTATTGGATCCTACTCAAGAAAAGTACAACTTTTCTGTAGATGTTTGATTTGAGCCATTTAAAGACTTAAGAACTTGCTTTCCAGCCTCATCCTGTTGTATGTTGTAGTGGTATTGTAACAGATAAAGATAATATTTCCCCAATACAAGATTGATTAAACAAATAATTCATGCCATTTTTTTATCTCAAGTGATCACAATTAGTCAGCACCTAGATCCTGTGGTTTTAATGTATTTATTTTGACTGTTGAGTTCTCTTGTGAGCGCATCTTTAATCAATTGAATAACATTTTCAATAAAATCTCTAAAATAAAAGACTGCTGTCTTTTTCTTACATCATTAGGAGTAGCCTAAAATATAAAATACAGGTGAAATAAAGTACACAAGAGCCATGTATCTTCCTCTGACAGAAAGAGACTTTGAATCTGACATGACAGCATGCAGATGGCTCGACTCCAGCCTGGCGCAGTCACGTGTAACCAATCTGCTTTGATATTTTCCTTCCCTGCTGCCCAGAAATGGGTTCAAGCTTCCTTTCACACAGTTTAGTGATCCGTTTTCCTCAGTTTGAGGCTGTAGGCTAAAAGACTGAAAGAGCAGACTGGGAGAGTCTTCTTTTCTTAAAGTGTGCAGATGAATTAGCCTTGGCACAATTCTTAACCCCCTGCCCGTCTCCTTTCATTTTGCTAACCTAAACCTGAACTTGACAACGACTAAGTGCCTCACTGAAGCATAACAACCCTGCACTAATTCTAGAAAAAAGCGTGTATTATTAATTTGAGCGAGCCGGATCATTATTCCCTGAGGATGCTGGTTCATCATCTATAGCCGAGCGGCTCTCTGTCCGACTTCATGGAAGAATATGGAAATGAAACACGGCTCATGTGGATGAGCACTGTGTCCAGGGGAAGGGACCCGAGAACGAGAAAAATCAAAGCTAAGGCAACTCCAGTCCGGCCCCAAAGCCAACGGATCGGCTGAGCGTATCTCTGAATAATTCATGCCATGGATCATGTTTAACTCATAAATGGGATTACACATTTACAGCAGTTTTTCCGTATGTTGTTCACTAACAGGCTGAGTGGAAACAAGGCAGAAACTCTAAAGCACAAACCCACGACCGGCAACTAATTAGGCTGAGTTCAAAGGACTTTTCCATTTTGAAAAAGGACAATTCTGTGTTGTCTGTTCTCGGGGGATATTTAACATTATCAATGAAGTGTGAAGCAAGGAAGATCTTCTAATTTTTTTGTGAGGAAAATGACAATTAATTAAGCTGCATGTTGCCATATTCTGTACATCTGTGACTTGAAATTAGATTTTGTGCCGTTATTTCTTAACAAAGCTTTTGCTCTTTTGTAGCAAATGCCATCTGTGTTTTAAAGCTACATGTTCTCTGAAGTCAACTTTGATCAGACTCCAGATGAATTATTGAGCATGATAGTCCGTGTTACACTGAGATGCATGACTACGAGCACCACATTCCCTTCAAAAAATAGAAAACGGTTTTCTTTGCATAGCTTTTAGATGGTGGGATGGATGTTTTTACTCACCTGGGAAAGCTGTGAGATGAAGGTGTCCCGTGGTGCAGCAGGGAATGGAGAGGGAAGGGGCAGATGAGGAGAAAACATAGAATATAAGTACATACTTAAAATCATGCCATTGTTTGACAATACAGTGTTTCTTTCTATGCTCAGTCCAGCTTACAGTCCACTGTTTTTCATTGTTGCACAGGTATTAATTTATTTTATGTTTCTGATTATTTTGGAGAGAACAAAAGAGAAAGAGGGTCATCAGCAGGAGGTGCGGTGGTAACTGAAGCCTGAACAAAGAGAAACTGTATGAAAAGAGGAAGCGGTCACATTCCCACCCACATTATTGTGAGGGCTGTGTGACCGCTGAGAAGTGAGCCGTGAGCACTTAGCAACACCCAAAGAGACTGATTGAATGAATGTTTTACAATAACCAACATAAAATTGGTTCAACTTTGATTATCCTATTCTCCTAAATAAATATGTATTTGTGTGTTTTATTTTAACAACCCTAAAGCAGCCACTAAAAACCTTTTACGGGTTTCCTCAGAAGATGCTTCCTTTGTAATCAATGGAAATCCCAAATACTTCAAATATTAAAAACACACTTCCTGAGGGAATGCATCACGACGTTTCTGTGCCACTGTTCGTCTTAAGTACATCTACACTGTTTACTTATTTATCTATGCATCAGTCCATTTGCTCCGCTGGCTTTATAAAAGCTCCTGTTTCTACACCCTGTGTTTCACTGAGACCACACACCTGATTTATTTATTCATGGGTCCACGAATCAGAGGTACATGCTTAGGCTTCCCTTGAAGCACCTGTCCTCCTGACTAAACAACACACACACTCATGCATACTTTTTTTAGCTGGTTTTAATGCCAAGTCTGTGGTTTAAAATATTAATGGCTGGTATTTCTGTTTGCTTCTCTGCGTCTGCATGGATACCATGTATGAGAGGAGATGGCAGAAGGAAAAAGCTCCAATCAACATGAGTAAACTAATGACAGCTGTTACCTGTCAGAGGAAAGAGACATCTGCTGGGTTTCACTGTTGTTTACATGATTTATGTGCAGAGATGACATTTCTTCTACACTATTTTTGACATTCATTTACCTTCATTGTGTGGCTCCCTTGGCTCTCAACCTTTGCTTTGACTGACAAACATCGCAACCTTGCAATATGAGCTCATAAATATCACAGGTCATTTTCTAAATGTCAACTAAATGCTTCTCAACTCATAGAAGACATAATGTTGCTGGGGTTTTACATGTTGGCTTTCTCCCTTTATTCAGTAAAAAATAACAAGTTTGCATTCTTACTTCTGGCACTGTACACTGGCAGAGGCTTGACAGTTCAACCTTACTTAAAAGGGGACCTATTATGCAAAATCCACTTTTTCATGTCTTTCATACATAAACATTTGTCCCCTCTGTGTAAAGAGATTCTGAAAGTTTCAGGAAAGAATATTCTCTCACTTTTTGTCCCGATCCATTTATATAAAAACCTGTCTGAAAATGAGCTGATCAGATTTTGGCCACTTTATGATGTCATAACGATTTGTTGGCTTGTGTAACCATTAGCCAATAACCAACCAAGACTCGGTACGGTCCGACAACCAACTATCGGATCGTACAACCGGAAGACTCACCACCAAACAAGCCGCAGCTATTCGGCGGCGGGTAACCCCGTCGGCCCTCCTCCCACGACTTCGAAAGGGATCCTAATGCGGGTATCGTGGGTTGTTCTTTAAACATACAGCAAAAAAATAAAAAAATGCACACTTAAGTATTAATTGATTTTTTTACTATAAGCATTTTTTTATACGGGTGTCATGTCTTGTTCATGGAAGCCCCCACAAAGTAGTCAGCCGAGGACCACACACCACAGCCACACAACACACACACACACACCAACACACACACACACACACACACCACACAGCACACACACACACACACCACACAACAACACACACACACACACACCACACACACACACACAACACCAAAACACACCGTACGCGCGTACATGGGTATTCGCTCGCTCTCTTCTCGCGTGGCACGGTCTGGCACAAAATGTAGACAAATCGATCGACGTGATTGCCTATATTCTCGACAAAGACGTTGTCCACTTCCCTTACCCCCAAGGGGGGGGTAAGGACGTCTGACTCCCTGAGTCGCCGATTCCTGAGAGACTAACAAATCTATCCGTCTGACGTCCACGATAGGAGAGAGCGAAGGCATATAAAGTGAGCGCAGAATACAGGTTTAGGTTAGTCTAGATCGATCAGATCGTTATAATACGGAAATGGGGAGGAATGTACGTCTAGTGCGTCTGAGTTTAGAGTAGTATACGGTTTAGGTCGACTCTCCGGTCTCCACGCGGCCTGAGACGTCTTTTATAGAACCAGGTTTGCCGCATGAGTGTTAAGGCATAGTCAGCCACTGCAGTAACCGGGTCTTTTCTAAACAGGGTGCAACTGATTGTAACCTTTCTTCAGAATTTACTCGCTATAAAAAAATTTGATGGGCTTCATATTTGATACATATCGGGAAATAAGTATTAGTAATCCAGGAATTTCAAACATCTTAGGATTTTCGCTTAGATCTTAATAGAACAGAGGTAAGTAAAAGACTCGGCTCTCACCCTCCGAGCCCGCCCCGAATTCCGCGACGAGAACTCGCGTGTATATGCCCAAGAAGACGAGGCTGTCGGGTCAGGTACTCCATCGTAAAGCGAAGAGTTTTCAACGAAAACGTAGTACGAGTTACTCGTGCAGAGTATCTTTCTTGCTCTGGCGGAGCTGCGCAATATGTCAAGAATAATATGTTAGGTACCCCCCGGGTTTTGTATAAACGTGGCCCGGTGTTGTGTTGGAACATATGCGGTGACTCACATATTTTGTATCAATAATATATGACTATATATAAAGAAAATATCAACATAAGGGACTACCATTCTTTTGACTAAAGCTGTTGGGGGGAGCGGGGGTGGTGGGGGAGTTTACCTTAACTGTTATTCTCGAACCTGAATAACTGGCAAATACCAATGACTAAGGTTCATGGTGAATGGTATTCAAGCTTCCCACCTGCCTCATATTTCAGTATTTTTCGGTTTCAGATTCAAGTCTGGCATTTGCTTCCTAATACAGGGACGAAGTGTCTATTGTTCTGTGTAGGCTCGTCGCTAATTCAGTATAATAAGAAGTCTAGTGTACAAATAACATAGCAAATTTCTTCGAAATAATCTAAAAAAACAAACAACATAGCAAATAACCATTGACTCGTTAACTAGGTTGCATAACCTTCGTGATTACCAAGATCATTATTTACAGGTATATTTAATCTCTTCTCCGAGTGAAGATATAGGTTTCCAACTGATTTTCTAATCAATTGACAAAATTTTACTAAACACTCGGTACCCTAAAGATTAGGAGTCTTGTTTGTTAATTCAACCTATAAGTAGTTTTGGGATGCAATACCGTTTCGGTAAAATTATTAATACCAATGATCTTGTGTCTGTCTTGTGTGATACCACTCCATTCTAAATCGATCCATTGTGTTCATAACAATTAACGTGAGTCACAGGTAGGGGACTTGATATTGAAATCTCACCCGAAGTGTTCAGACATCCTTTTTATATTTCTTGTTCGAATTATCTATTCGAATTTGGGAACGCTAATAGACACCTTTTATGTACGAAATGAAGAACAACTACGTACCGGTTCTTTTCACGACTGAAATACCGGTTATTGAAATAACTCTTATGATCAGAGGGTGTCAGTAATACATGTTAGGAAAGAGAAGTTGTACTATAGAGGGGTTCGTACAAACGACTGTACAAACAGTAGTTCAAATCTCACACAGTGCGACTTAGTCTATAATAGTCGCACTAGGGGTGGATTTTCAACTACTGTTTGACAGTCTTTGTACTTGGAGGAACCCGCCTATATAGTCACTCTCCTTTCAACATGTTTAATACTGACCACCTCGCATAAAGAGTTATTTTCATAAGCGTGGTATTTTCAGTCGTGAAAGAAACCGTACGTAGTTGTTCTCTCATGTCGGTATACAAAAAGGTTGCTATTGCGTTCCCAACTTAATAGATATTTCGAACAAGAAAATATAAGGATGTCTGACACTTCGGGTGGATTTTCAAACATATCATAGTCCCCTACTAGTGACTCCGGTTAATTGTTATGTAACAACAATTGGGATCGATGTTAAATGGGAGTGGATCACAAAACAGGACAAATTCATTGTTATAATATTTGTTACGAAACGTAATTGCATCACCAACACTATTATAGGTTGTATTGACATAACAGCTCCTAATCTTTAGGGTACGGAGGTGTCTCGTAAATTTTGTCAATTTTATAGGAGAAATCAAGTTTGGAAACCTATATCTTCACTCGAGAAGAGATTAAATATACCTGTAATAATCGAATCTTGGTAGTACGAGTTTAGCACTAGTTAGCGAGTCATTGGGGTTTATTTGCTATGTGGTGTTGTTTTTGATTATTTCGAGAATTTGGCTTTTATGTTTATTTTACACTAGACTTTCTTATTATACTGTGAGCGACGAGCTCTCCAGGCAACACATAGACTTCGTGCTGTCATTAGTAGAGCAATGCCAGACTTTGAAATCTGAAACCTGAAACTCTGGATATGAGGCAGGTTGGGTGGAAGCTGTGAAGTACATTCACATGACCGTATCATGGTATTATCCAGTTTTATTTCAGCTTGAATAACAGTTAAGGTAATCTCCACCCCACCCACCACCCGCTCCCCCAGCAGCTTTAAGTCGAAGATGTAGGGTCTTATGTTGTTATATTTTTATATATGCTCATAATATATGTATAATACCATATGTGAGGTCACGCATTGTTCAACACAAACGGGGCCCGTTTCATGAACAAACCCGGGGGGTTACCTACATATTATCTTGATATGTCGCAGCCTCGCCCCAGAGAAGAAAGGATCTCTCGACCAGTAACCGTACTCTGTTTACGTGGTTGAAACTTC